GTACATGTACTAATTATAAGACCCTGTGATCATTTGTCTAGGACAATACTGAACATACAGGAATGATTACTATTGAAAATGGACCAAAAGTATCATGTTAAAAAAATATAAATCCACAACACAAAACAGAACATGGGGAGGGGTCTGACTTCATCATGTCACACAGTCAATGATCACAAATGATAACCTGTACTGTTTCTATAATGTTTAGCTGTTGTGTAGTAGGAATGGTTACCTGTTGTGTAGTACGAACAGTTACCTGTGAATGGTTACCTGTTGTGTAGTAGGAATGGTTACCTGTGAATGGTTACCTGTTGTGTAGTAGTAATAGTTACCAGTTGTGTAGTAGGAATGTTTACCTGTAAATGGTTACCTGTTGTGTAGTAGGAAAGGTTATCTGTGAATGGTTACCTGTTGTGTAGTAGGAACGGTTACCTGTGAATGGTTACCTGTTGTGTAGTAGGAACGATTACCTGTGAATGGTTACCTGTTGTATAGTAGGAATGGTTACCTGTGGTGTAGTAGGAACGGTTACCTGTGAATGGCTACCTGTTGTGTAGTAGGAACTGTTACCTGTGAATGGTTACCTGTTGTGTAGTAGGAACGGTTACCTGTGAATGGTTACCTGTACTGTAAGGAAGAGCGGTTGTAGAGTCTGGACTGCTTTGTTTTGTGATTGCTGTCCATCACAATGTTACTGATCAAATATTGAGAAAAAATCACATCAAATCTACATTACTGCATTAAAGAAGTATAAAAACATTTTTTTCTCCTTTTTAAAAGAGATCCTCCATGGATGGGTGCCCATCACCACTATCTCTTCTCTGTGGTTTGTTGGATTAAACTACTTTCTGTTTGAATCAGCATCTGTTCAAATACCATTTAACAGTGTTTTCCCCTACAAATACCTTTTTCCCATAAAACAAACATGTTATACAGTATTGGATATTTGTATTGAGAATTTGTAGAAATTTCAGTTCAGAATTGCTAATGTTCATCTGCTGATTTGAGGTGGTCAGCAGGTGATCATGTGACTTTATATCACTTGGTATAAACCTCAATATGTCAATGACACATTTGAAAGCAAAGGACTGTCTCCAGTCTCTAGTAAAATCCATCTTTGGATAAATAGTACTATATTTTAGTGTACCATATTCCACTGACATCCACAGATGTAAGAACAAGTCTTAGAAATTTGGTGTGACATAGAACAAGGAGCAGAACTCAGTTCCTACTCCTAAACAAATTATGGTAATAATTCTATCTATAATTGAAGAAATAAACTGTATATCCATGCACTGTTACAGATCACATCTAATGTGACATTATGCTATAAATTTGCCTAGTGCATCTTACGTTGTTCTAGGGTATATTTGACTTTGTGCTGGGGTCAGTATGTCCATTCAACCTTTTATTCGGGTCAGTGAGTGGCTGTGACCATGTGCTGGGGTCAGTATGTCCATTCAACCTTTTATTCGGGTCAGTGAGTGGCTGTGACCATGTGCTGGGGTCAGTATGTCCATTCAACCTTTTATTCGGGTCAGTGAGTGGCTGTGACCATGTGCTGGGGTCAGTATGTCCATTCAACCTTTTATTCGGGTCAGTGAGTGGCTGTGACCATGTGCTGGGGTCAGTTTGATCATAATGGGGTATGTTAGCAAACTTTTTCTGAACATAACATAGGCAGTGAATATATGTGAATTGTGTTAAGTGCAGTGAGTGGGTGTGGCATCGTCAGTGAGTGGGCGTGACATTGTCAGTGAGTGGGTGTGACATTGTCAGTGAGTGGGTGTATCACCGTCAGTGAGTGGGTGTGACATTGTCAGTGAGTGGGTGTATCACCGTCAGTGAGTGGGTGTGACATTATCAGTGAGTGAGTGACATTATCAGTGATTGGGTGTAGCATCATCAGTAAGTGGGTGTGACATTGTCAGTGAGTGGGCGTGACATTGTCAGTGAGTGGGTGTGACACTATCAATGAGTGGGTGTGACATTGTCAGTGAGTGAGTGACATTATCAATGAATAGGTGTAGCATCGTCAGTAAGTGGGTGTAGCATCGTCAGTAAGTGGGTGTGACATTATCAGTGAGTGAGTGACATTGTCAGTGAGTGAGTGACATTATCAGTGATTGGGTGTAGCATCGTCAGTAAGTGGGTGTGACATTGTCAGTGAGTGGGTGTGACATTGTCAGTGAGTGGGTGTGACAGTATCAGTGAGTGGGTGTAGCATCGTCAGTGAGTGGGTGTGACTTTGTCAGTGAGTGGGTGTGACAATCTCATTAGGTGGGTACACGTAGCAGGGTAGGAGTACATGGTGTCCCATGATAAAGTCAGATAAAGCAGGACTGGGTTATGTGACACAGAAAACATAAATAAAACGTACTTGTGGAGGCATTTTGTTGTGATGCACTGAAGATGGCTTTGAGATGCTGTCAGACTGAAATAACCAATCATAATTAAGTATAGAGATGACCTTCTCACCCTTAACAGCCCTGATAGTCACTTCTGTTGACTGGTTGGGCTAGTCTACTATAGAAACATGGTGAGAGGTCATAACATTCATTTTTTTATACATGTTAAACATATCAAAATATTTTTCTCTCAAATGCCATTCTTCATATGAAAATAAGCAAACGTAATATGCAAACAAGTGTAAATGAAGGCAGTGATTCTATGAACTGAGGGCAGGCTTTACATATGTATATACTGTTATACATCAGAGGGCAGAAAGGCATGACCCTTACATTGTCACATTGCAAATTATAATCTCATCACAGTCATAATGCATAAAATGGATACTTATTATATGTGATTACAAAAAAACAGGTATGTCATTCACAGCAAACACAATGCTTGATTTCATGCCAACTGTAAAAATCCAACAAACCTTTAAGCATCCCTTCGGCTGAACAGTTTAATCACATTATCAATCTCCCCCAAAAATCAATATAATCATATACAAATGTAACACTAATTATCAAGTTTGTGATTTTAGAAATTATGAACTTAAAACAAATATTTCTGTATCAGCTGGTTGTTTTATGAAGATTACAGGATGAAAGAAGCAGGATGTTGTCAGCACTATCTTATGCACATGATCAATAGGAAATCAAACCATCAGCATTGTTATAAAAAAACAGATATAATCACATCAAGCTGTTAAAGCTGTTATAGAGCACAAAACTGTGAGCACAAAAATAAAGCATTATAATCAACACACTACATGCCACTCGTTATAAAGCCCCACCCACTAGGTTTTAACCACACCTACAACCCTCCTGTACCATTGGGTGGATAAAAGGTCTACATCAGACTCCCACATCACAGCCCCTCTCAAGATCATAGTTCTTATATAATTCTATCTATCCTACCTCACCTATGAAATTTAGAGTTCTCACAGCCCCTCTCAAGATAACAGTCCCTTTATAATTCTATCCATCCTACCTCACCTACGAAATTTAGAGTTCTCACAGCCCCTCTCATAATCATAGTCCCTTTATAATTCTATCCATCCTACCTCACCTACGAAATTTAGAGTTCTCACAGCCCCTCTCAAGATAACAGTTCCTATATAATTCTATCCATCCTACCTCACCTATGAAATTTAGAGTTCTCACAGCCCCTATCAAGATAACAGTCCCTTTATAATTCTATCCATCCTACCTCACCTATGAAATTTAGAGTTCTCACAGCCCCTCTCAAGATAACAGTCCCTTTATAATTCTATCCATCCTACCTCACCTATGAAATTTAGAGTTCTCACAGCCCCTATCAAGATAACAGTCCCTTTATAATTCTATCCATCCTACATCACCTACGAAATTTAGAGTTCTCACAGCCCCTCTCAAGATAACAGTCCCTTTATAATTCTATCCATCCTACCTCACCTACAAAATTTAGAGTTCTCACAGCCCCTCTCAAGATAACAGTTCCTATATAATTCCATCAATAAATGTGTATTCATTACGTAACATTTGGAGGACATTGATTGGTTGTATAGTTAACCAGCTCTTGTTTTATTATTCATTGAAGTTTCTTCCTTGGCTGTGAGGCTGATGGCACTTTGTCTAGGAGTGAATATACATCATCAGTTATCCTGTATTCTGAGACAACGTTTCGGTAAATGTCACTTGTTAAAAGTCAGGTCTCATAAAGCAGGTTCAGTAATGTGGACTTAATGACAATGGAATTTTTTTTTCAAGGTCTATTTAAAGAAGAAGTTACCTTAGCAGGCCAAACTATCTCCCATTCCTAACATTAAACAACAACACAATTCTGTAAATTACAGTCGCCCTCTCTAATGTGAAATTATATGCGAAGGACTAATTCTAGACACTGAATGTTTGACAGACCTACTGTATTTAGTAAGGTAGTGTGAAGTTGTGATGTATTGCCATAAAGACACTACTGTTAATACAATGTCTCCCATGGTTTGATGACACTTTGTCAGGGAGGGAATCATCAGTTAACCTAGTCTATTATGGTGTTTCATCTACTGCATTTAGTGGTATGAATGTGAATTATCCATCTTGTCAGACTGGCTAGTATGTCAATTCTTAAATGAAAGTAAATTCATGCTCCAAGTTTCATGAACCCATGTCCCAAGTAACATGATTCCATGTCCAAATTTTCATGAACCCATGACCGAAGTAAAATAAATGTGTCCCAAGTTTAACGAACCCATGTCCCAAGTTACATGAACCAATGTCCCCTAACTTGGGCCAAATAAAAATCAGTGACAAGCAGTCTTTTTTTTCAATGTCAAAGGTCAAAATGGCCTAATTTTGGTGCATGACACACTGCCTGACCTAGAAAGACCTACGACCCTAGTATAAAGCCCTTTTTTGAATACTACAAATCATATTATCTATTCCAGTGAAATACAAACTCCACCTCCCCCATCCCCTCCTCCCCTCACATGAGGCCTAAGTAAAGAGTATAACTGCTGATTAAAACTTTAACTCCAAACATGAAGACCTGACAGAAGTCTAACTACTGACCTCTTCAGCTGGTAAGTCCTCTACAAAGTTGTCAGGAAACACTCCGATTCGACCGTTCACCTCACCCTTCCACCATCCTGCATCTTCCAGGTCTCTGTCTAGAATAGTAATTATCTCCCCTTCCTGTAGGGTCAACTCATCATCGTTGTCTGCAGTGTAGGAATATCGTACAACAGCTCTATCCACTGTAACCAAGAAAACATCTGTATCAAAATAGGTTTTCGATAACGATGGCAATGACACAAATGTTAACTCTATTTGGTTTGATTTCAAGTTTTCTACAAATCAAAAATTTTTCTAATTTTTAATTTACAATTAAAATATATAGAAATGACGGTTTTGAAGTAAAATATGATATGCCTCAATTATGCAAGACACTTTTGTCATTGAAAAATGTAAACAGTGCTAAAATTAACACATTAACAATATTGAGACTAAATGTCTCAATAAACTTGATCAAACAAGCAATTCCATGGTAGTGAAACAGGAGTAAACTGTTGAAAATCAACTTGAACAAATAGGTTAAAATGAAAGGTACAAGTATTATGTTAGTCAATAACATGCACAATCATATGTCATTATGGAACATTTTAATAGAAATCCTTAAACTATTTCTTATTAGGGTAGCTTTAGGATCCTGAGGTCAGTATATAGAGAGAACCTATACCTTGATGGTAGTTTTAGGATCCTGAGGTCAGTATATAGAGAGAACCTATACCCTGATGGTAGCTTTAGGATCCTGTGGTCAGTATATAGAGAGAACCTATACCTTGATGGTAGTTTTAGGATCCTGTGGTCAGTATATAGAGAGAACCTATACCCTGATGGTAGCTTTAGGATCCTGTGGTCAGTATATAGAGAGAACCTATTCCCTGATGGTAGCTTTAGGATCCTGTGGTCAGTATATAGAGAGAACCTATACCCAGATGGTAGCTTTAGGATCCTGTGGTCAGTATATAGAGAGAACCTATACCTTGATGGTAGTTTTAGGATCCTGTGGTCAGTATATAGAGAGAACCTATACCCTGATGGTAGCTTTAGGATCCTGTGGTCAGTATATAGAGAGAACCTATACCCTGATGGTAGCTTTAGGATCCTGTGGTCAGTATATAGAGAGAACCTATACCCTGATGGTAGCTTTAGGATCCTGTGGTCAGTATATAGAGAAAACCTATTCCCTGATGGTAGTTTTAGGATCCTGTGGTCAGTATATAGAGAGAACCTATTCCCTGATGGTAGCTTTAGGATCCTGTGGTCAGTATATAGAGAGAACCTATTCCCTGATGGTAGCTTTAGGATCCTGTGGTCAGTATATAGAGAGAACCTATACCTTGATGGTAGTTTTAGGATCCTGAGGTCAGTATATAGAGAGAACCTATACCCTGATGGTAGCTTTAGGATCCTGTGGTCAGTATATAGAGAGAACCTATACCCTGATGGTAGCTTTAGGATCCTGTGGTCAGTATATAGAGAGAACCTATACCCAGATGGTAGCTTTAGGATCCTGTGGTCAGTATATAGAGAGAACCTATACCTTGATGGTAGTTTTAGGATCCTGTGGTCAGTATATAGAGAGAACCTATACCCTGATGGTAGCTTTAGGATCCTGTGGTCAGTATATAGAGAGAACCTATACCCTGATGGTAGCTTTAGGATCCTGTGGTCAGTATATAGAGAGAACCTGATGGTAGTTTTAGGATCCTGTGGTCAGTATATAGACCCTGATGGTAGCTTTAGGATCCTGTGGTCAGTATATAGAGAGAACCTATTCCCTGATGGTAGCTTTAGGATCCTGTGGTCAGTATATAGAGAAAACCTATTCCCTGATGGTAGCTTTAGGATCCTGTGGTCAGTATATAGAGAGAACCTATACCCTGATGGTAGCTTTAGGATCCTGTGGTCAGTATATAGAGAGAACCTATACCCTGATGGTAGTTTTAGGATCCTGTGGTCAGTATATAGAGAGAACCTATACCCTGATGGTAGTTTTAGGATCCTGTGGTCAGTATATAGAGAGATCCTATACCCTGATGGTAGCTTTAGGATCCTGTGGTCAGTATATAGAGAGAACCTATTCCCTGATGGTAGCTTTAGTATCCTGTGGTCAGTATATAGAGAGAACCTATACCCTAATGGTAGTTTTAGGATCCTGTGGTCAGTATATAGAGAGAACCTATACCCTGATGGTAGCTTTAGGATCCTGTGGTCAGTATATAGAGAGAACCTATACCCTGATGGTAGTTTTAGGATTCTGTGGTCAGTATATAGAGAGAACCTATACCATACCCTGATGGTAGCTTTAGGATCCTGTGGTCAGTATATAGAGAGAACCTATACCCTGATGGTAGTTTTAGGATCCTGTGGTCAGTATATAGAGAGATCCTATACCCTGATGGTAGCTTTAGGATCCTGTGGTCAGTATATAGAGAGAACCTATACCCTGATGGTAGCTTTAGGATCCTGTGGTCAGTATATAGAGAGAACCTATACCCTGATGGTAGTTTTAGGATTCTGTGGTCAGTATAAAGAGAGAACCTATACCCTGATGGTAGTTTAAGGATCCTGTGGTCAGTATATAGAGAGAACCTATACCCTGATGGTAGTTTTAGGATTCTATGGTCAGTATATAGAGAGAACCTATACCATACCCTGATGGTAGCTTTAGGATCCTGTGGTCAGTATATAGAGAGAACCTATACCCTGATGGTAGCTTTAGGATTCTGTGGTCAGTGTATAGAGAGAACCTATATCTTGTGGCCACAAAGTCATTACTGCTCTATTGGAAATCAATAACTATAATCCCAGAGTAGACATTGAGGTAAAGGATGTATTCTGGCCATTAAGTAATACCTTTTATGAATCCAGGGTAATATATCAAATTTACAATATGGACCTGTGTATACATATATAGTAGACTGGCTAGGTACTCCATAGGAAACCACCAGGTGCAGTGATGTACAAGAAGTCATAAACACTACAATCATATACTGAAATCCAGAGTAGGAAGAGAAATCAATTTCATTGATTTAAAACAACTAGGAACCCTTCAAGTAAGATTGATTTAACAAACAGTCAAGGGACATGATGTTATAAGGTAGGATTTACTTAGTCACAACCAAACTATGTAATGGTAGCAGGGTACTGCTTGTAGGTTGGGTTTGGGATAGAGAAGAGCCTATCAGATTGTAATCTTTAAGTTTGTAGTAATATTCACCAGGTGTTTTTGGTACAGTATATTCCGTAGTACTCCTGTTATACTATCAAAATTTCTAATACTTCCCTGGAAGTCATAAATAACAGAAAAAAAAGTCAGTGAGAAGATGTGTAATTAGCCATGTGGCTGAGGAAACTTCCATGATAATGAATTAAGAATATTGATCTCACAACACAACCTACAGAAAACATCTCGATTATCGCAACATCAATTCCACAAACACTTTTTACCTTTTTAATTAAGTTTAAATTGATAGTAACCATTGCCACGGGCTTAAAATATACAGATCATTCAACAGGGGCATGATGTCAAAAGGAAAGTAATAAGACCAGCATGTGTCTGGTGTGACCTTGATAATCCAGCTATATCTCTGAACATTTCCTTCGAGTGGGTACTGACAACAGATTAAATACTCCTATAACTTAACCAGTAGAAGAATTTAGTGTGATGTTTGGATGACTACACTGTACAGGTCACCTTCATCAGGTAAATGATAAGCAAGAAACGTTTTGTACTAACACTGACGTATGTAGCAAACAAGATGATAGAGAATCCTTCAGTTTTTTACGCTGTACTATAATCCTATATACACTACTTATATATGGAGTGACCTAATGGTAAACAGGTTATTGAAGAACAAAAAACCATCTCCTTTATGTCACTGCTAATACATTTCACACTGGTCATTTGTCTGATAAAGGTGGCTGTGTAGTCATCAAAAATCTTCTACCAGTTGTGTTTTCCTATATATAACCAACATCTTAACATGGAAGATGTGCCACATTAAAGCTTGATATTATCAACAATAACTTTTGTAACTCAGTGATTTCAATACCATCCACATACATCTCAGCTGAGTGTAAAACCAAATAAACAACAACTGAAAGAACTCCAACCATAATGCGTGTAAACACTTACCATTCCTAGAACGGGGGCGGGGTTTTACTTCCATAACTACCACTCTCCACACACCGGTACAATATGTAATGATGTCTTAGCAGGTAAACTAACACAGGTGAAATAAATACGATGAAAGGTCCACTAACAAGGCTGAGTTATCCCAGCAGACAAGAACGTATTCTAGATCTGCACTGCTAGGTTACTGGGATAATCAATTGTAGATATCCATGTAAACATGTGCTAGAATCCACATCACACTCCAGTGATGTTGTTCCGATATTCCAGCGAAAGCAGATCTACATATGCTTCAGATCATTAACTGGTAGCAGTGTAGTATTGGTTCCTTTCCTCTCTTGGACAGACAGGAAACAATGAAACAGAACCAGCAAACAGGGCCAGCACTTCTCCCTCCTACGAGTTTCAGGACTGTTTCTCTTTGCTCTGAGATAAATGAATAGCTTTCCCCTTCACTGGATCAGATGACCAGCATTTCTCTTGGACTTTTCTCCCTTCACTGGGTCACAGGACCAGCGTTCTTCTAGGACTTTTCTCCCTTCACTGGGTCACAGGACCAGCGTTCTTCTAGGTCTTTTCTCCCTTCACTGGGTCACAGGACCAGCGTTCTTCTAGGTCTTTTCTCCCTTCACTGGGTCACAGGACCAGCGTTCTTCTAGGACTTTTCTCCCTTCACTGGGTCACAGGGCCAGTGTTCTCCCTTCACTGGGTCACAGGGCCAGTGTTCTTCTAGGACTTTTCTCCCTTCTCTGGGCCACAGGACCGCCACACTTTTCTCCCTTCACTGGGTCACAGCACCAGTGTTAATTTAGTATACAGGACAAGTTTTCTCACTCGCTGGAACAGAGGGTCTGCTTTGCTCCCTTCTATAGATCGCAGGACCACATTCCTCTTGGATACAGGACAAGTTTTTCCCCCTCCTCTCGGAAACAGGACTACTGTTCTCCCTCTCTGGGTCGCAAGACAAGTGTTCCTCTGGAACACATTAAGAATTTTTTCTCCCTTCTCTGTGCTACAGGATCAGTGCTCGTCTGGGACGAAGGGCACCAGTTTTCC